CACACACGTCAGACCCTCATGGGTCAGAAGTTCCTCAACATACTGTCAAGTTGGAGATTTTAAAGAACTGTTTGGTTTGTGATACAGTTCTAAACAGTGGAAGATGAAGTATTCAGATAAGAAAATTAAGTGGGACGTTTACCTTATATATGCTCATTATCCATCCATCATCTATACCACTTATTCCTGAACAGTATTGCTAGGGGGCCTGGAGCCAATCTCAGCTGACTTTGGACAAGAGGTGAAGTCGACCCTGGACAAGTCGCCAGTCTATCACAGGGCTCACATGTAGACAAACAACCATACACACACTCACTCCTACGGGCAATTTAGGGGTCTTTGGACTTGGGAGGAAGCCAGAGTACCTGGAGAAAACACGCAAACTTCACAAAGAAAGGTTTCAGGTCGGCCTGGGCTCAAACCCAGAACTTTCTTGTTGTGAGGTGACAGCACTAACCACTGCATCTCTGTGCCGCCTTATGCTCATCATACTGGTTATAAATCATCTGAATCTACTGCTGCTGTGCAATAAATCCTTGGAAGAGCCTTTTGTAGGAGATGCTTTAAGCTGCTACTGGGAGTAAAGAATTTGATCCTTGGATACATCCTTAGAAGTATAAAGTAACATAACATTAAAATGATTCAAATAAGTAAACATTCCTAACTTAAGTGTGTACAGTATTTTCAAGTGTACTTGGTACGTACCACCATGAGTTCCAAAATTTGTCTCAGACTTTTAACATTTTTACAACAGGTTATGTTTTTTACAGTGTATGTGATTTCAGATGATTTGAGCAGGCTTCTGTTGAGCTGATTAGAGAGGGGAGGAACAATCATAACGCTGCATTCTATTCTGAGACTGTAAGGAGAGTCTGACTCACTGTCACAGTGGAGGAGGACTGGGGGGAGAGATGGCCTAGAGCAATGGAAGAAGTGGAGGCAGATGAAGAAAATGGGGAACGTGGAGATTGGTGTTATTCTTTTTAATAAAACGCCTAAAACATTAAAAAGAAATCCCCAGTCTGGGGAAACCTGAAGTTGACAGCAGCCATTAAAAGAGCAACACGTGGATAGTTGCTGCACTGATGTAACTATAGGTATGTTGTGAAGAAGGGAGGGAGGGGGAGAGGAATGGAATGGGAGGAAAGGACGGAGGAGAAATGGGGAGTGGTGAGGGATATCCCCTCAGACTATCAGGGTGTTTCCTCGTTTTAACAGTACAGAGGTCAGGCATTCCAGAGAGCTGACCCCCGAGCCCACGCTACCGTTTGAGCCTAGTCTTATGTAAAATCCTGCCCTAACTGGAGAGGAGGGCGGCCGGAGGCTCCGGGCCCCGCCACCATGCAGACGCGTCAGGTGGCTTCCAGCGCACCACTCCTCTGCCGCTACAAACCCTCTCCCTCTGCTAACGCCTTTTTACAAAATAAACACTCGGTCAAGTCGCTCCCTGATGGAAAGAATTCCACTTTCCCAACAAAAAGACAAGTGCAATAAGGACTGTGGGAAACGTGTGTCCCAACAACAGGAAACTATTAATGTTTTCTCTATCAGAGCGATTATGTCCACGTTTTCAAGTCCGCTGCTCAAACTGCCGCACAGATATTTAGGTCTGGTTGCAAAACCTCTTCCTAATAGGGGAAAGCCACTGAGGGGAAACTACTGGAACCACAGCCGCTGTGCGCAAAAGAGCTACGTGCGCCTCTGGGGCGCACAGACACACAAAGCACCGGTTTCTATGAGTTTATTTCCGTTTATTGTGATTATCCACAGAGCAGAAATAAAGGGTAAACCCTGCAGCAGATATCCTGCTGATGTTATGGTTTCAGGTGCCATGAAGATGTATAGATATGTAAATCTCAAATTTGAAGCTCAGATGTTAACAGTCCTCCAAGCTTGACTCACCTTGACAACGTCGTCGTTTATGTGCTTGGGGTCCCGGTTGACCAGGTCGATCTCTTTGGTATGGATATCCTCCATTGTCTTCTCGTTCAGACTTTCGTTGTCCATGTCTTTGTTGTTGGGTTTGTATATGTTCCCTTGTTTTCGGATGAACGGCGAATGCAGAAACTTCTGTCAGGATCAGGAGGAGACAGAAAAAGAAGAGAATGAGAAGGAGGAGGGATAGTGTTCAGTGCCTTGAGAAGGAGAGAGACTGGAGCTGGACTTAGCAAACTGCCCTACAAACAGGGATGGGTTTAAATTGATAGAAAGTGAAGCACCACACCCCTCGATCCATCCGCAAGGGGTCCTCGCCACCCAGACAAAATTCTAATGTCCTGACCTGACATGCAGTTTATTTAACACGGACCTGTTAACATGGCAACATTTTCAAGAAAGAAAAGCGCAAATAGTAAAACACTGGTCTTGTCAAAATTGTTTGCATATTTGATTAAATAGAGGATGTTGAATATATTCTTTCTTTCTTTTCATTAGTGAATATATGTTCATATTTTATGAAAAGCATGTTGTGTTTCCGTGTCCATAGTTTTAGAAACACAGTGCGTAAAGAGCCGTTTGGTTCTCACAGTCCTATTCTCTGCACTGTGGACCTTTCAAGCACATTCATATTTATACTCACTCTATGTAGTTTAGTACTAAAGCTCGCACATGTAGCCTATGACTGCAATCTCCGAAAAAGTTCGTGGGTTTACTCTTCTTTGTATTTTATGCGCAAAAAAGTAAACCGGGTTGGTGCGTAAAACCCACAATCGGTTGCCCAGTTAATAAAAGTTTAACCAGGTAACATCTCATACCTCCGTGCTAATGCGTACTGAATGGTCTTTCACATTCCCCACTTGGTGTGTGAGAAACGTTCGTGACTAGGTGTCAGGGGAAAATATATTGCGATTGAGACATTTCACTCTACAGTTGGAAAAACATAAAATGTCCTTAGTGAAGGCAAATGATGAGCGAGAACAATGAGCTCCTAGATGAAGACAATCTGTATCAGATAAAAGGTTTCTACTAAAAAATAGTGCCAGCGGTTGAGGAGAGCCATACTATACCTCTTCTGTTTCGCCGTCCTTCAATCCTCCTGTCATGCTGTCCTCACGTTTGAACAGATTTGCGCGGTGAAACACAAGAAGACAGGAAGCTAAGTGGGAGGCGTATGAGAGGACCAGGCTCTTCTTAGGGACCCGCAGTGATCTAATGTCTACTCTTTTCGCTGAACGTGATTGGAATTTAATTCCAGAGCTGTGAGGGAAACCTGCGGAGTTTCATCTGATTCCGCAGCACCTCTCTGCAGCTCGGGATCACCTGTAAGCGGAAACAGGGCGAGAGCCACCATGTAACCTGTCTGGATGGAAGAGGGACTGCCGCGATCTCAGACCAAAGGGAGTGTTGTACTGTAACCTGAGTGCAGTTACTTCACTGGGGAACCAGGGCACAGAATAAAAACCCCTTTGCTCAGTGAAATGTGGGCGTTAATTGGGAACGACAAGGTGTGGACACTTGACATTTTTGATTTGATTTGATTTATTCTTTCAAGCATGTAAAGACAGCTAGTTGATATGTCAACACACATAATTTTACACATATCCAATAAATGCTAATCCAATATCAATGTGCTTATACCTAGTACATGCTTGAATGGAGTAGGAAGAAGTCAGACTTATCCAGTCCTACCCCATGACATCATCTTACCATCATTGGTTTGCAAGCAGTATCTCTACATAAATAATTCTCTTCTACACCACACAAGTAATATACTAAAAAAATTATAACAGTGTTAACATTCATACACCACACCCACAATGTTCCATCTAATTAATCATTGAGCCTGTTCTTGCATATATCTTGATTGACACATACCTTTATATTTATGTTTAAACTCGTCAATTCTATTACT